AGAGAGAGAGAGAGAGAGAGAGAGAGAGAGAGAGAGAGAGAGAGAGAGAGAGAGAGAGAGAGAGAGTTTTCATCGATAGGATGAGCAACGTACCAACCAACAAGCAATTCGATCTTGCTCATCCTATCGATGCAAGTAGTGTGAGGCCAGCCGCAGAGTTGGAGACTTACTTGTTTGTTGATGCGTCTCCCTCTCTCTCTTTCTATTTATCTATCTCTTTCTCACATACACACACACACACACACACACACACACACACACACACATACACACACACACACACACACACACACACACATACACACACATACGTGTAGTAGGGTATATTTCCATGTCCTACCTGAAGATTCATTCGAATTTGCTCATCCTATCGATGCAAGTAGCGTGAGGCTAGTTGCGGGGTTGAAGACTTACCTGTTCGTTGGTGCATCTCTCTCTTTCTCTCTCTCTCTCTCTCTCTCTCTCTCTCTCTCACACACACACACACACACACACACACACACACACACACACACACACGCTCTACCCTCTGTGTATGCCCCCCTTTTCCCTTTGCATGCCCCCCCTCACGTTTTTTTCCTACGCCCCAACCATGATTGCGGGAATGGACGTGCAACCTCGCTCCATGTGCACCCGTCCCGCGGATTGTCGTGGGTACGAATCGATACGCGGATTGTCGTGCTGACGCCCTGACGCGCACATTCGCGTGAGCACGTTCTTTTTCCCACAAACGCTGCGCCGTTTCGCGTCAGTGCACGTGATGGCTGGCCTCAACCACGATCTTTTCCCACAGGCCCTGCACCGCACGTGACAGTTGGCCCCTACCACGATCTCAACATTTAGCACACGACCTCCCTCCTCCGCTTCCGCCCGTCCTATGGTTTTCCGTGGGCCCACCGCACGTGACAGTTGGCCCCTACCACGATCTCAACATTTGGCACACGACCTCCCTCCTCCGCTTCCGCCCTTCCTATGGTTTTCCGTGGCCCCACGACTGCGTGTGACTACGGGACCGCTATAACTTTTAGGTGTACAGAGATTAAACTAAGTTGATAAACAAGTGGTGAATTCAAACATTAGATACAATTGATAATTATGGTGAAAATGCAATGAATGATTATTAAAAAATAAAAATTGATAGACCATTGAAAATAAAAGATAAACCGGGTGGGCTATGAAATGGGGGACTCATATTATTTTGGTTGCCTGGGCAACCTAATTGGACAAATGTTAGTCAGAGTATTAAAAAAAAAAAGTTTTACCGTTGATCACTTTAGTAACCTGATAGACAACGTTTTAATTATTGATGCAACCTAAATGCACATGAAATAAATAAGTCACATGGATGTAGAATCAGAATGATTAAACCACTAGTATATCCAAGTCTCCTTTTATGGAGACAAACCCATTTTTACCACCAAGCGTTGTTGAAATATCAACGATTTTATGTTTTTTTTTCCTTTCTTTATTTTATTTTTAAGTTGACGCTAATAACCAGTTTTGTATGGTAACCCCGCGCCTCTAAAAAATTTGGATGATGTCGATTTTAATTCTCAAGTTTGTATGGGTGATATACTAGCGGTTCAATATTTTGATATTAAAGTATGCGTGTAAATAATCCCAACTTGCTATTTGTATATATATTTTAGGTGTTGTCTGTTGGATGAAAAATTAAAGATGGTTGAGGATTTTTAATTATTGATTTTGGATTATATAGGATTAACTTGTAAGTTAGAATCACTAGCAATAAACAATATTTTAAAAATATATATTTTTATGGTTAGATTATTTTCAAAACTCGTCTCTTTGCGAAACTTTGACCATCCGATAAACACTATAAGTTGTTGTAGATCGATCGAATGCATTTTTTTAGCACCACGAAATAGTTGTTAATAAATCCAACATTGTTAATTGGGGGGGTACACACACACACACACACACACACACACACACACACACACACACACACACACACACACACACACACAGAGAGAGAGAGAGAGAGAGAGAGAGAGAGAGAGAGAGAGACGATTTGTTGGACCATGAAGCACCACTATCTTATATCATCAGACCACTACTACTATGCACATCTAGTTCACGTGCACCTTTTGGTTAAACCGTTGCCGCGAATAGGCATGACCCACTACAAAAAGAAGGTTGACCTCGCCTGGTAGGCCCTCTTGGGCTCGCTCGGACTACATTCTTCCCTCGAACATAACGCATATGCTTTGTATTTGAGTTAAAAAATCATTTTTTTTTATAATTGCTACCTTTTTATCAAATAGAAGGGCACCTTGAATACAACACATATGCTTTGTCTTCGAATAAATTGCATATGAGTTTTATTCAAATTTGAAGAATATTGAAAAAAAGTTTTTTTTTTTTTTTTCCCCTTTTCTTTTTAAGGTCAACGCATATGCATTCTCACTCTCTGTTTCTCTCTCAACGTATGTGCGTGACCTAGGACCTCGCTCCACTACTTTTGACATGTGCAAAACGAGAGTGAATCTTTCGCTAGAACATGAAAAGATACACCGCCATGCTTTTTGTCTTTTGTGCATGCCGAGAGTAGTGGAGGGAGACCCCTGCGCTCTTCTTGCTTCTCCCGCTATCTGACAAACGGCAGCCAAGGAAGTGGCAGCGGAGGAAGTCAGAGCGGGGGCAGCCACGAGGGACGCGCCTGACTATACCAGGGTGTTGTATATTTCCATGTTCTAGCGGAAGATTCATTCTCATTTTGCACATTTAGTGAGGAGTGGAGGGAGGCCTTAAATGGCAAAAGGGGGATGAACCTTTGGCCAGAACATGGAAAGATACAACATCACATTTATTGTCGGTGTAACGCACTTGGGCACGGAAGAGAACTGAGCCTACTCAGCCTGGACCAGGCCCCCTTCTAGCCAAAAACTTGCTGCAGTGCCCTCGAATACAAGGCATATGCATATGTTCGGGGGAAGAAGGTAGCGGTGGCTTATGACCACATAGGCTCAGATTGCCCCCCTCAGGACTGGCAGATACTACTGGTAAGGTACCACGGCGTGCTCGGTCGGCAGGTCGGGTCGAAAGGTACTCGCGGTGTAACGTCGGCAAAGTTGCACCGTAGCTTCGGCCCCAGTACGGAACCTTACTGGTACTAACCCTCTCGTCGATTCCCTCGGCGTGGATCTTGTCTGTGGACTGGTGGCAGAGTCTCTGCTCATAATCCAGGCCACGAGGTGGTGAGGTGGAAGGGCAAGGGCAAGGGACGCGCGCGCGGCTGCCTGGCACTCTCGGGCGGGTTTGTTCGCAGTCGATTCCGTTCGGTCCCATTACATCGCTTTCAATAAATGAGAGCTCGGCGACGTTTCTCGTCGTGGTGGAATATTTTCAGCGCTACGGCCGGTTAGTGGTGTGACCCGGTTTGTTCAGCCGGGCTCACGTACATAACGCGGATATCTGCAGGTGTTGTTTTCTCCACGCTCCATCGCCGCTCCGTCGCCGTCTTTGCTGTTTTCTAGGGTCTTTTCTGCTTCGTGGAGATGGCGGCTCTTAGCGTGGAGAAGACGGCCGCTGGCCGCGAATTCAAGGTCAAGGACCTTTCCCAGGCCGACTTCGGTCGGATGGAGATTGACATTGCTGAGGTCGAGATGCCAGGTCTCATGGCTTGCCGCGAGGAGTTCGGCCCTAAGCAGCCTCTCAAGGGAGTGAAGATCACGGGATCTCTCCACATGACGGTCCAGACGGCCGTGTTGATCGAGACCTTGACTGCCTTGGGCGCAGAGGTGAGATGGTGCTCATGCAACATCTTCTCGACGCAGGATCACGCAGCCGCTGCCATCGCACGTGATAGTGCTGCTGTGTTTGCCTGGAAGGGGGAGACGTTGGAAGAGTACTGGTGGTGCACGGAGCACGCCATGGACTGGGGTAACGGCGCTGGCCCCGACATGATTGTCGACGATGGCGGCGATGTGACTTTGTTGGTTCACGAGGGAGTAAAGGCCGAGGAGCTGTACGAGAAGGACGGAACCCTCCCTGACCCTAGCTCTACGACCAATGCAGAGTTCAAGATTGTGCTTTCGACAATCCGCGATAGCATCAAGAAGAATCCGAAGAGATTCCGTGCCATTGCGAAGAACATTGTCGGAGTGTCGGAGGAGACCACCACTGGTGTGAAGCGTCTTTATTCTATGGAGAAGTCGGCGGAGCTTCTCTTCCCTGCTATCAACGTGAACGACTCTGTGACGAAGTGCAAGTTCGACAACTTGTACGGCTGCCGCCACTCTCTGCCCGACGGCCTGATGAGGGCTACCGATGTAATGATTGCCGGGAAAGTCGGTGTCGTCTGCGGGTATGGTGATGTGGGAAAGGGTTGTGCTGCGGCGTTGAAGAATGCTGGTGCGCGTGTCATCGTGACTGAGATCGACCCTATCTGTGCTCTGCAAGCGGTTATGGAAGGGTTCCAGGTTCTGACCCTCGAAGATTGCCTAGAGTACGGAGACATTTTCGTGACGACCACCGGTAATAAGGACGTTATCATGATCAATCAGATGATCAAGATGAAGAACAACGCCATTGTATGCAATATCGGTCACTTTGACAATGAAATCGATATGGCGGGTCTGGAGAGTCATCCTGGAGCGAAGAAGACGACCATCAAGCCTCAGACGGACCGATGGGTGTTTGCGGAGACGGGCAGAGGCATTATTCTGTTGGCGGAGGGACGGTTGATGAACCTGGGGTGCGCCACAGGCCATCCCAGCTTCGTGATGTCGTGCTCTTTCACTAACCAAGTCATTGCGCAGCTGGAGTTGTGGACGGAGAGAACGACGGGCAAGTATGAGAAGAAGGTGTACGTTCTCCCTAAGCATCTTGACGAGAAGGTCGCAGCTCTCCATCTGCCGAAGCTTGGCGTGAAGTTGACGAAGCTCTCGGAGGAGCAGGCGGCGTATATCAACGTGCCGGTCGATGGCCCGTTCAAGCCCGCGCACTATCGTTATTAAATGCAGCATAGCGAGTGGGAAGAGGGAGGGATAGTTGTGGTGGGGGCATAAGTAGAGCACCTTTTCGCTCTTGTGCAATGCAGGATCTCAATACCTCGGTCTTTGTTTCGTCCTTGCATTTGCTTTGTAGTGTAGTCTAGTCTAGGGATATGTTTAGTGCTCGTTTCTTTCCGTCGGCTTCGGCAATTTGTATCGAGGCGGTGAATGAGTTTGGCAAGTCGGAGCCTGGGCGGGCTCGACCTTGCGTCTATTTTCACGCAGTATGGTAGCACATGGTATGATGTAGATTTCGATGTGCTTTTAAGCGTTACTCGAGGAGTTTTTCACGTGCCGGCGGAATTCTTTCGATGTCCAACACTAGTGTGGGGGAAGTAATGAACTAAACTACCCAGCACGACGGAGTCTTCGGGCTCTGTATTGGACTCACTCGAGCTCGTGGCTTTCGAGCAACGATTGTTCACACGGAGGCGAGTTTTGATTCGATTGATTCGATACGTCTCTCGGCATGTTGCATATTCTTTTGCCGTAATGTTCGATATCGTCCTTGCTTGGAATCTAATTTGAGAAATGTTTTTTGAGTTGACGTTTCGAGAGCGGAGATGATGAGATGGAAAATGATGTGATTGTGTTTTCATTGGTTAACGATTGTTTCTTTGAGAAAGTGCTGTTTATGAGATCCTGGAGAATTTGTTGCATTCTCTCGCCGTAATTTTGGATATCGTCCTTGGAATCTATAATTTGAGAAATGTTTTGGAGTTCATGTTTCGAGAGCGGGGATGATGAGATTGAAGATGTGATTGTGTTTTCATTTGTTAACGGAGATTGAAGATGTGATCGTGTTTTCATTGGTTGACGATTGTTTCTTTGAGAAAGTGCTTTTTATGGAATTTTGGAAATTTGTAAACGGGTCACCTTTCTTGCTTGTAAGTGGAAATTGTGAGACTTCGGCAAGTTGGGACTGGTGGACGTTGATGTTTATCGTTGAGCGGGAGTGGTAATATCCGTTATTGCGTGACGTACCGTCGGCTATGGAAGGATGGATGCCGTGAGAAATTCGCATTGAGTAATGTTTGACCTATCAAGAATTGCGCAGTGAAGTGTGTTTGACCTATTGTTCTCTGTTTGTCCTCTTGAGATTGCCTAGACTTGCCCAAGCCCCTCGTCTCGCAAAATCTCACGGCAATTTCTGTTTGGTCTCTGTTTGTCCTCTTGAGATTGCCAACCGTTATGTTTATGGTTGAGTGGGGGTGGTAATGAATGTGTTGGACCTGTTTGTTGTTTTGTATTACCGACTTGCCCAAGCCCGTCGTCTCTTTAAACCTCTCCGAAAGCCCTTTGCGTTCCGGCTCTACCAGTTTCCATAGCAGTAGGTCAGTTTTCTGTCTTTCTTCGTGTAAGTTTCTGTTGCAATGAGGTTTTGTGTGGCGTGTTCTGTTGTTTGAGGAATGGGATGTGTTCTACAAATGGAATGTGCGTCTGAGAATATGCAATGCCGTATTCTTCGGGAAGTTTGTGGGGCTGAAGTGTTTTGTGTGGCGTGTTCTGTTTTATTGAGGAGTGGCATGTGTTCTACAAAATGGAATGTGCGTTTGAGATCATACAATCCCGTATTTACGGTAGAGTTCTTATGGATGGTGTCTGGACTGGCGGAAGTGCTTGTTTTGCTGTAAGAACCGGGCGCGTATGTGTCCTTGTGCTTGGGAATGCGTGTTAGACGTCCATTCATTTGCTTATGTGGGGTGATGCGGATAGAGGCGCAGTCTCTAAATGTTTATCTGATGTGATCGTAACGTTGTCTTTTGCGCGATTCGGTCGCCTGGAGAGTCGTTATTGCCTGCTGATCAAAATATTATTTTAGGGTTAGGGAACTGTGTAGGTACTGCTGCTGGTGATGATGATGTCGGACTTCGAGAACCGTGCGGGCACAGCTGCTCGTCGCTTTTAGGGTTGTACTTGCGGAGATTTTTTGATTTTAGGTTAGGGTTATAGCTGAGTTCTGTGGGTCTAGAAATGGCGCCTTCTGCGATATTCTGTTGTCTATGATCCTGGAAATGGATTTTTGTGGTTTCGGTCGTGCGCTAGCCGATTGCTGCTGCGGGCATTTATCGAGACCAGTGTACCTAACAGCTGCTTGGTTTTTGTTTTCTTGCGCACTCGCGATGAAGATCAAACGACGTGAAGGAACCAAAGCTTCTTTGGTTATCTGGATTTGGAAAGAGACATGGAATGGCTATGATGCCAGGGCAATCCTCGTAATGCGCGGATTTCATGTGTATGTGGTTGTAGGAAGAGGAAGTGTGGTGTTGTCGGTCATCCTGTAGGTTTGTCTTGGTGTATTTGAGGTCGATGTGTATCGAGCTGTCGACAGTTTTTGGTCGAATTAAATTTGCCGTCTTATGGGCCGCGCTTCGCTACTCTCGATATGCGTAAAAGGAGAGTCGATCTTCCGCTAGAAAATGGGAAATACACCCTCATTTGTCTATTGCGCATCTCGAAAGTAGTGGAGCGAGGCCATGTATGTGGACGTTTTGGGTCGCGGATTCACTCGTCGTACTGCCTTTCGTTTATAGGTAGTCTGAGAACTTGTTCATGGATGTTTTGGAGTCCATGCTAATGGTGTTTGCAATCTTTTAGGGGAAGAACGCTACTCGTCAATTACTGCGCTTACCCGACTCAGGGCACACGCGCACACTAGGACTTTTTACGAATTTTTGGACGGAATTGCGGCCAGATACATTAAGCTATGGCCGTGAATGCGGTCATATACGTTTGAGATACTGCTAGTGTGAGTACGTCCTCAGTGAAATTGCTGCCTGCGATCGATCTTCCAATTGTACCGACATGACGAAGTGTAGTGTTGTGTCCAACGTGGAGCGCGATCACAATTCGTTCAGGAACAATCGACTTTGTGGTGGTCTTGTCGGTGATATAGTTGAGAATCCTGGATAATGAACAGTCGCTGATGATGAATTTCGGTGATATATTTGAGAATCCGGGATAATGGACAGTTGCTGATGACGAATTTATGTACTCTGCTGAGAAGAAAGAGAAGGGAAAAAAAGAGGGACTGAGGGACTGCATAGACAGCAGTCGGAGAGCAGTCTGTGTCCAAGGAAGAGAAGGATAAGGAACGAAATCTGTGTAGAAGGAAGAGAAATGTACGAAATCTGTGTCGAAGGAAGGGAAATGTACGAGGAACGACGTCACGTGTGGTGGTGCATAGTTATAAGTGTGAAATCGCACTCCTGCCGTCGTCCCCCGAATACAACGCACCCTTATTTTGGCCGCTGCGCCAGACCGGAAAGATTGCTCGTAGATTAGTTATATTCGGGAAAGATTCTGTATAGATTGGTTATCAGTGTACGTTGTGTTAGAGCAAGACGAAAGTAAGCTCTGTTCTACGAAGTGCAATTGGCTTTTGGGCATGGAGTCTGAATGAGTAGATCTGGATTTTGTGATCAAGGGGGTAAACCACATGCCAAATTGGCCTGAGCAGCAGCACGAGGTGCAGAAGTCTCTTTTGCATGAGCTCTGATCAGACGGCATGACGGCACGCTGAAGATTTGCTCTACTCGATAATTAGTCTTGGTATCTTCGTTCTCCTGATAAGTGGGGGTAATAATCTAATCTATCGTGTAGGAAACGAGGGTGCGATCTGCAAGGCCTGTGCGTGTGATTACTCTTGGAATTGAAGGCTATCCATGTGCTCGCTCGAGCAGATGAGTGTGACAAGCACGGCGGTACCACTCTTTCTAGGGAATGCGATTTTTCGATCTTCGGCGAACGAACCACGAAGGCAACTGGGGCTCGTTTATATATATATATATATATATAACATAAATATATACGATATGACACTCGGGGTGGGTGCAGCCGCCGCTAAATCTACATCCACGTGGGCGGCCTTGTACGCAAGAGGTTCTGAACAGGGGGAGTTATAAGGAAGAAGATTAAAAACTGAATTCATTTTTTCCTGTTTGTCTTTCTTTTTTCCTTTTTGTTCGCATTTGCGCTCTGATTTGTTGTCCTCTTCTCTCTCTCTGCCTACGGTTTACCGGGCAGTTCTGTTTGTACGATATATATATATATATATATTTCGCTTTTTTCGCTTTTGCGCTCTCATATGCATGTGATGATATATATATATGTATACCTCGTTTGTTGTCCTCTTCTCTCTCTGCCTACGGTTTACCGGGCAGTTCTATTTGTGACGATATATATATGTTGACAAGCTTGCATCGTTTAGAGTGACGCTGACGTATAGACAGCTCGAACGTTTGGTGTGATGTCAACTTTTTTGTTGTAACAGGGGAAGTGAATACAACGGTTCAATACTTATGTAGTCATAGGGCCTCGCTGCACTACTCTCTCTCCAAATGTGCAAAATGAGAATGAATCTTCCGCTAGAAACATGGAAAGATGCACCGCCATAGTTTGTCTTTTGTGCATATTTACAGAAGTGCATCGAGGCCCATACTTCTCTATGTCAGGATTGGGTAATTTTATCGCGCCTGCCGCCTGCCGCCTGCCGCCTGCCTTGAGGAGAAACTATGCCTGGCTGGAAGACGACAACAAAATTTTGTTAGCGTCCGCCGAGATACCCCCCGTTAAAATGTGGAGAGCGCGATACGGTGAAGATCAGCGTTCCCCGTACGAGGATGACACGCACAGAGGCAATGCACTCTTTCGCTATAAGGGCCTCACTCCACTACTCTCGAAAAAAATGTGCAAAACGAGAGTGTGAATCTTCCGCTAGAACATGGAAAGATACCCCGCCATCATTTTTGTCTTTTGTGCAGGTCGAGAATCATTTTTGTCTTTTGTGCAGGTCGAGAATCATTTTTGTCTTTTGTGCAGGTCGAGAGAGAGTAGTGGAGAGCGACCCCCAAAACTCTTGTGTAGTGATTATTAACACCCACCCTCGGAGAAAACAAGTCCTGGATGAAGATGGTAGGGAAACTTTTCGTTGTTGTTTTCCGATGCATCCGTCCGTTAAAATGGGAACGAACGATACACAGAAGAATAGCATTGCCCGCGTTTGGCAACGAGGTAAGGGGGGGGGCGGGGGGGGGAGGAGGCGGAAGAAAAATGCATTGTTGTTTGCCCCTGTGTACCACGACGACATGCGGAAATCGAGTAGAAAAGGCTGAAATCTTGAAAGAAAAGGACGGTGTGTTTACACGACGACATGGATGAGCAGTGGTGGTGATCTCCGTCGTTGTTCGACTTACCGTCGGCCTTTTGAGTAAATGCGGAAGGATGGATGCCGTGAGAATTTCCCAATGCAGTGAGATGTTTTGTTTGTCCCTTCTCTTCTGTCTATTTGTCCGCTGAGATTGCCAACCCCTACCCCTACCAGGTAGGGTGATGATGTTTTATTAGAATCAGCGATAACCTTTGCCCTTCGTCTCGGAATGTCCCTCTCCGAAAGCCCCTCTGCGCTTCGTTCAGCCTCTCTCAGTGTACGTAACAGTACATCATTTTTTCTGTCTTTATGACGTGGTGAACGGGGGGAAACAAAACCAACAAAAACGCAAACAGCACTTTTTGGCCCCTGTGTCACGACGATGACATCTGCACAAATCCACGTTCTGTAGATTTAAAGAGACTGCTCAATTTATAGAGAGAAGAGGAAACGAAACATTACCGTTCTTGAGATCTCGTCTCAACGACTGGTTCTGTCGCACACGTACGGATCCACGATCGATGTCAGAAAAAAAATTGATGTTGGCTGCAGCTGTGTTGTGTGTTGTATACGGTTTGACAGCGCGCACACCGATTTTCATCATGTAGTTTTCTATATAGCCGAGTCACAGAAAACTGAGTCCACGTAGTCCGCGAGAGTCTCTCGCGGCTTTGAACGTCGTTGCCCGGGCGCGCGAGCACTCGTGTTTTTGGAAAACTAAGCTATATGCTTCTCACAATTTTCACTTTTCACTACGTACTACTAGTAAGCCTATACAGGGGAAACATGTAGCCAATACACCGGGTATCATCTAGTTGTGCAGGTAGAGT